AACTACACTTCAATCTGAAGCCCAGATATTACACGCTTTAATACTAGAAAGAAACCTTATAGAGCCTCTCAGAACACTCTTTCCAGAAGCAAACAGACTCACATATAGGAAAAGAAACAGAACTCAGCACATCACGAGCTCAGCTTATCCGACTCCCTAAGAGGAACAATTATCAATACAGGAGTAGGGAAACTTCCCTATAACAGCGGACTGGATCATAATTCTATATACATTGATTTTCTCTTTGACCCAGGACTACAAAGAGGACCAGGCTTCTTCAAGATCAATAACTCCATCCTAAACAGACGCGAATTGAGAGAAGAATTAGTCCAGGCTTGCATAGATTCAGAGGGGGAGGAAGCAGACTTCTATACCTTAGTGGCCAACCTCTCCAAAGCAGCCTCAGCTACCTCTAGAAAATTGGCAGCCAAAAGAAATCAGCGCATAAAGGAATTAGAAGCAGCAGTTAATCTCGCGGAAACAAACCTTAGGAGTAATTCAGGTGTTACATTTTATGAGGAATTACTATCCAGAACCAGAACAGAACTAGCTAACTGGAATGCGTGGAAGGCAAACGGCTTAAGACTAAGAGCCAGGATCAAAGAATGGGAAGAAGGTGAAAAAATGACCAAGTTTTTCTTTCAAAAAATCAAATCCAGAGGAAGAAACTCAACCATCCTACAACTAAGAGGGGGAGCAGGTTTGACATCCAACCCAACAAAAAAACCTTCTACAAAAATCTTTATTCCACCAAAACTGAAAACCCCACACCATGGCCAGTCCAACAAGCTAGAGAAAAAAATTGCAAACACCTAGACAAGACAATTACGACCCCCTTAGCCTTAGAACTGGACCAACCAATCACTAGTGAAGAACTGAGAAAAGCCCTAGATACCATGAAACCAGGGAAAACACCAGGCCTAGATGGTCTTTCCAAAGAATTCTGGCAAACATACTGGCCTCTATTAGGGGAAGAATTCGGCAATTTTATACAGTCAGCATGGGACAAAGAAAGCTTAGGTCCTTTTCTAAGTACAAAAATAGTTACGCTGCTTTACAAGAAAGGGGACCCCACGGACATAAAGAATTACAGACCAATCACCCTTCTAACAGTAGCGTACAAAATCTTGGCCAAACTACTAGCCAACAGGATAAGAAAGATCATCAAAAGTTGTTTTCACATCGACCAAACAGGTTTCATTCCGGGCAGATTCATCCTAGATAATGTAATGACCCTAGCTGAATCAGTAAGGTATATCAAAGACAAAAAAATGAATGCAACAATTCTTTTCTTTGACTTTGAAAAAGCCTATGACCAAGTCAACTGGGACTTTCTACAACAGTGTATGGAAACAATGGGAGTAGGCCCCAATTTTAGGAAATGGGTAAGGGTCCTATATAATGACGCCCTAGGAGCAGTGCAGGTGAACGGTCATATATCTAATACTTACAAGATGTCCCGTTCAGTCAGACAAGGAGACCCTCTGGCAGCCCCAATCTTCCTCTTCATTATGGAAGCCATAGCATCMTTTCTAAGAAAAGATCCCTCCATCCATAGGCTCATTGATCAGACAGAGGAAAACRCACGCWCTTATCACATCCCCCCCACAATCCTATTCGCAGACGATCTCACAGTTCTGATAAGAGCTTCTTCCTCATCCTTCCAAGCTCTGACCARAGCCATGAGCGCGTTCCAGCTGGCATCAGAAATGCGCATTAATTGGCAGAAAACAGTAGGTTGGTGGATAACACCAGAAAACCTGGCCTTGCCGCCCAACACACCTGAAGGTATGTCTTGGTCAGACCCCAACGACCCAACCAGAGTCCTTGGGATACAAATGTCAGAACACGGTGCTGCGGCAAAAATGACACCTAGTCTACTAGTCAAAATGACTAACAAACTATGCGCGTGGGGGAAGATACACACCTCGCTATATGGAAGAGCACTAATGTTGAACTCATCCATATTCTCAATGATGTGGTATGTTGCAGCCTTCTGGTCCCCTGATAAAAAAGAACTGAAGGAGTTGCAAAGAAAAGCGTCAGCATATTTATGGACAGGAGACGCAGCCCGACAACACTTCATCACTAAGGTAGCATGGCAATTCATAACTAGGAAGAAAAATCTTGGAGGATTGGGCATATTAGACCCTGGCGACCAAATAAAATCACTACAGACCAAATGGATCATAAAACTAATAACTAGCCCCAATCTCCCATGGAGACCCCTGGCGTTGGAGGCCATACAACAGCTCACAGGCTACAACACTCCAGGCAATATGGACGGTATCTTCTGGGTAATGAGCAAGTCATGGACCATGAAAAAATGTTCCCCAAACCAAGAGCAGACAGGAAGCGAACCAAGACTGAATTTCTGGAGAACAATACTCAAAGCATGGAAAGAAATCTTCACAGCCAGAGTCAGACACCCGCACACCAAAGAAGAGATACGTAGACAACCACTCTTCTGTAACCAATTGATAGCTACCAACAGCGGAACACCATTCACACTCACCACAAAGGACGCGAAATGGGGTTCCTGGGTAGAAAGAGGGATCTGGCAAGTCAAACATATCTGGGACGAAGACAAGAAAGACTGGATGAACGTCAGACAACTCCGCACCAGACTCAAGGGAGCCCACAACTTAGCTCAAAACCTACAACAAGTGTTAAATGCCATACCAGCAGAATGGTTCCTGTCCTCCAAAAAGAAAAACAGTGGAATATAGGAGATTGGGCAATAATGACACACATCCAACCCTACGAACACGCACTTAACTACTCAGAAAGGATAGAAGGAAGAGACAATTGGCATACCTTCACAATGCACAAGATAGAGGACCCAGGCACGGACGTCAACATAGTCAGCAAAGAATCAGCATCACAAGGATCAGTCAGAGAAGACTACCTCAGAAAAATCAGAGTAATAGAAAACAACCAAATCACCCTATTCCACCCCCAAACTGCACTAGAAGACCTAGAAGTGGACCCAGCGGAATGGGCATGGAACCTCAAACAGAACCCATCCAACATAAACCGTACATTCAACCTGCTTTAGTACACAACGAGACTAGGATACCAACTACGACGCAGATCTTCAGACCCGGAACCAATTATACCGGAACGTTGGCGGAAGCACTTGGAAGTAGACCCCGGGAAACTAGAACAGATACCTTGGAATCAAATAAATGCGATTCACCCCCCCAAATTTAGAAGCCTGCAATGGCTAATACTATATCTAGCAGTCCCCCTGAACCAATGGCTAAATGTCAGGAGAAGAAAGGAAGATCGTAACCCAATGCTAGAATTGTGCACCAACTGTCCAGAAGGTCAAATAGAGAATCTGTTTCACTGCTTTCTCCACTGTTCCAAGATAAATACGATCTGGAGAAAGATAGCAAAGATCTGGTACACAGTCACAGCATCAGAGTTCACAACAAGCCCGACCCTCCTACTACTAGGGTTTACAACCCCGGAAGACTGGTCCCCCCTACAAAATAACTTCTTTCAAATTCTTAGGAAAGCAACAATATGGGCWATCTGGAGGAAAAGATGTCAGGAAACAATAGACAAACAACCAATGCATATAAATGAAGCCTGGCGACTGATACAACTACAAGTAGAAACAGAATATTGGGTCAGATCTCGCAAAGTGAGAAGGAAAATAGAAATAGAGGTATATAGAGCAAAAGAACATAGACAAAGATTCGAAGAAGATCACCTAGCAAAGGGCAAAATAGCACACATCAAAGGCCAAGGTCTAGCTCTTACACTCTGGGAAAAGGCCCCCCAGACCGTCCAAATAGACTCTGAAACCGTTAACAGCGTCCCAGAATCATGCACACCACATGTGTTCTCTCCGTAGCTTAGCGTATTAAAAATCCCACCCTCCTGCACCACACTACACTTGTACGTTTCCCTAAGTACAAAGCCATAGATACTTAATGCACTAAATCCTGGCCCAACATTTCCACCCACAAGTCATACCAGCAGCCAAATCCCAAATCACAGAACAGCTTGGAGGATTTAAACCCAGCACAGTACTCTCAGAAGAGTAAGGATAAATCAACAGGGAATTCGGCTTCAGGACGAAGGGGACAGTAGGGTTTAGGGTTCAACAAGAGCAGTAGCTGATGCCTCACTATTGGATAAGATAGCCACGAAGTAGGTTCGAATAAGAACCATTAGTGTATAGAGGTCAGCCTTCAGAGAGGTTTAGGGTTCAGGGCTTAAGAACAGCATAATTTTACCTGATGGATTCGGATCCGCTAAATCACGACCACATCACGTCCGACAGTTTAGGGTTTAAGGTTTAGGGCTTAGACAGAAACAAGGTAATTATGGTTATAGATTTACACAGATTTCAATAGGTTCAAAAGAATTCCAGAACGCTCTTGCATAGCAGATCCACCCGACGGCCTCACAGCTGAGAGGAGCAAAGCTGGGATCAGACAGATCGACAGGCAAGGTTAGTACAGGATAACTTAGGCAGGGGCGAGAGGGGGTACATTCTTCCTCAGGGAAGCAATCAATGCCGCCCACTCGGGCCTCCCAGCCATAATGGGGAGGAGCGTGCGT